TAACGATTTCTTGATGTTAGCTCAAAAATTCTTGTAAATTGACAAAGCACTTCCAAGAAATTATCTTCGAAAACAATTTTTTATTCTCAAAAGCATATCAAACGGGCCTAAGCTTCTTTGTGTTCTATCTGCTGTCAATTTCTCTGAACCCACCACAGAACCCAATGCCCATTAAGATCCGTAAGCATGCTCTCTACGAATCAAGGACAGCCCAACAATGGCCCAACTCACTTGCTTAGACGAATGGCCCATAGTAGACTGGCAGTTCCTATCGTTCTTCGGTTCAGCTTCTCTTTCTGCACTACAGCGCAATACTTTCAAATTTCTGCAATTAATCGAAAACTTCATCCAACAAATATGAATCCACTTTTTCGATTCATTTTTGCTTCACGATCTAACTTATAAATTCAATTGCAGAAAATGAACTAGATTGGGGAGATTCATCAAAAAATGAAAAGACTCTGATCCTAACCCTCAAGATTAATTTTGCACTCGGACGTTCAGTCGAATTCTCTCCGGATGAGGTTGAAATTTCCTTCCTTTTGCTCTTCAGAGACCTCTCCAACCTTTTCTCTAATGGCAGGTGGGTTTCCTTTCATTTATATATGTATCATTACACGTGTTATTCATATAAATTAATATTTTATTTGGAAAATGATGATTTTAGGAGAGAAAAAATCGCCGATCAGGCGTAGAGATAGGGCTGCCATCGTTGTTCTCGGCGACATTGGGCGTAGCCCGCGTATGCAGTACCACGCTCTTTCCCTTGCACGTCAGGTACACGTCCCACGACTGAAAATTTAGTTTATATGCGTTTTGGAGTTTTGAATTTGAAGATTGGTGTGGTCACTCATGACTAACTTGCTTTTGTTTGAATATTGTTGGGTTTTTGATACCAAATAATCCCGGACGATGATTTTAAACAGTGTCGGATAGTCGGATTAGATTTCATAGGTTTTGGCCGATGATTGAAATATTTATTAACACACTCGATTAATTGACTCAACCCGAAAAATAACTTGAGGGTCGTTTGAAGCAACTTAATACAGTTAATGTTGCTCGCGGCCCATTTACTTTTTGGATGGCTCAATTTGTGTTCCGCCCCCTTTAACCATTAGTTGGTCCATGAGCCCACTATATTATTACACTCAAGTAGAAACAAGTACTTACAGTAAACAACTAATCATGCGATAAAGATATTATATAAGATATCTCACACAGATCTTTTCAAATTCACGTTCACACAGAATTAAAGATTAACACCAAGTTAATCAGCACACGGTCAAACACATATGCAACAAATGCACAAATGACCTCACGAAAGATCTCACCACACTTATAATATCCCATTTCGTATTACTCCCACCTCGAGAACATATATCTTCTCTCTTCGCCCACCAAGCTCACTAAATAGATCACACAACTCATATCAAAATGACAAGTCACAATAGATCCTAAGTTCAAGAATAATCCTCTATCACTACATCACTTCTCCTAACCTACGTGGATAATGGGACTCCACCTTACAGAAATGATAGAAGTGCCTCTCTTGCACTCCACGTGTACAGGGTCTCTTTCACAGATAAAAGATTCTACACATCTCCACTCGTGATCTAAATGTCACACTCCACATCCCCCGGTACAAATCACCATGTACCCCTAAATATCTATACTCCACTTTATCAAAAGACATCTAACACACTGCTAATGCATCCTAACCCACTATGCATGCAAACGATCACACCAAGTAATCACATTACCGCAAATTCATGCAAACACACCTATCAAACAAATTGAAATGCAACAAATTAGGCAATCACACACATGCTGAAAGGATCACACAAGATGCATATGCAGTGACTAGGTTTACTCTCTCAATAAACCTCACTGGGGTCATAACTCGACCCCTCAACCACATTTGTCTCACCTATCACATAACCCTTCTACTTATCCTTCTTCTTGGGACAATCTCTAATAAAGTGTCCAGACTTACCACAACTATAACATCGTTTATCACTGGACTTATCCTGTCCCTTGCCCTTCATCACTCGAATCACCACTATTTTGAGCTCTACCCAAATTCATTATCTTAAACTTCATCTCACTCCTTATCATGTGTGACTCATCACTCTTATCTTCATTTTTAGCCTTCATTTCCATCTCCTTACTCCTAAGTGAGTCTACGACAATCTCGGGAGTCAATGTATTCCTACCATACTTAATGAGATTTTTAACTTCCTTATATGACCCGGGCATAGAATTAAACAAGATTATAACCTTGTAGGTTTCAGATACGGTTTCTTCACAATTAACAATATCTTGGACAAGTTTATTGAAAACATCTAAATTGTCATCAAGATCCTTTGAAAGATCCATTTTAAAACTGAAGAAACGCTCAAGAAGATAAAGTTTATTGGGAGTGGATTTAAACAAATATAGATCTTTCAACTTTTTCCAAAGATCTTTTGTGGTTTCAACTTTTCTACTTTTTCCAAAACAGCGTCAGACAGATGTAAAATGATTGAGGTATAAGCAAGTTCATCGGCTTCTTTTTTTTTTTTTTTGAAAAATTAGCTGGAAAATTGTTTTCAATGGCTTTGAAACCTTTTGTTGGACTAAAATACCCTTCATTTATTGTTGCCAGATTTAAAAATCACATTTTCCATTAAAAATACCAAATGTTGAATAATCGACCTTCGATGGTGGATTTTCCGGGTTCAGTTGAACCAATCTCAACCTTATTAAAGACACCCAACAACGACTCCAATCCAAACAACGATTCTTATTTCGGTTGCTCAACTCAATGTGTTCACGAAAAACATAATATGGTGGTTGCAATGAATCACCAAGAATAGAGGAAGACAGATTCAATTTTAAGGCTCAAGAGAGAAAACAAGAGAAAATGTCGGCTGCCTCTTTTCAATCAATTGGGCAAATAGATCACACAAAGTAATCCCACGCCGCAATATACATCGTTCTAGATTTTCAGGGTTTCTTAAGACTCGCGATCTTAGATCAAGGGAACGTTTGAACGGGTAAAGTCTAGGTATTCTAACGAAAGTAACAACACAGCGGAATTTACGATGCAACAAAAAAATAGGTATATCCAATCAAATGAAATTTCACGACAATTTTAGCACAAAGCACAATACGCTAATTTATCCAAAAATAAGTACTCAATCACAACAATTAAGAGCAAATATTCCTAATTTCTAGCACAAACAATGGTTGCCAAGCAATGACAACCCCAACCTATTGTCACCCTACACGATGACGTGCTAATGCTGAAATTAATGGGTTAAGCCAATTTACCAGAGCGGATGTGTCTAAGTCCGTATAATTGAGAGAGATGCGAATTTACTGCTTTAGGACCACCACTATTCGTCCTAAAGATTCAGCAAATATAACCGTGCAGCCTGCCAAGAAATGCAGTTCAATTTTCAAGAGTAAAATCGTCCAACTTTTTCTGTGTAACCTGAAACAGAAAACTTCCAACACGAAAAATATTAGAAATAATGTGAGGAACAAACTACCTGAAGACAGTTTTCTCAGAATCGGCTCCACGTGCCCACACGCGCCACCGCCGGAGAAGCCACGCGACGCCGCGCCGCCCAGACGCGTCGGCCACCTAGCATCGCCTCCACCTGCAGATCACGAATTCGGCCTCTGTTTCACCAAAAGACGTCTGGATTCGTCGAAAATTGAAGTTGCAGATCCGATTTTTGGGAAAATTTTCTGGACAGTTTTATTTTCTGATTTCTGCCGATTTTCTGGTCGGAATTTGGCCGGAAATTCCACCGCAACCTCGCTCTGATACCAAATGTTGAATAATCGACGTCCGATGGTGGATTTTTCGGGCTCAGTTGAACCAATCTCAACCTTATTAAACACACCCAACAATGGCTCCAACCCAAACAACGATTTTTACTTCGGTTGCTCAACTCAATGTGTTCACAAAGAATACAATATGGTGGCTGCAATGAATCACCAAGAATGGAGGAAGACAGATTCAATTTTAAGGCTCAAGAGAGAAAACAGGAGAAAATGTCGGCTGCCTCTTTTCATTTGTGCACACACACGGCTTATTCAACAATGAGGCCAATATATAGTTTTAGGGTGTAATAATATAGTGGGCTAATGGACCAACTAATGGTTAAAGGGGGCTGAAACACAAAAGTGAGCCATCCAAGAAGTAAATGGGCCGTGAGCAACATTAACTATATTAA